CTATGGATAGGGTCATAACATGGCAAATGATGACCAAATACATGCTAGAATGTAAACCAAACAAGCTAAAATGACATGGCATGGCATGGAGCATATGAAGCTAATTTAGGGGGATTTACACTACAAGTGCATCATGCAAGCATGGAGTGACAAAACCAAGCCAAAACAGGTTCATGGCATGGTAAAACATCACCAAAAACTCACTGAAATGGACTCAACACAAACTAAGCACACATGCTACTTTGATGACTATGAATGGAGTTACACCACACATGCTAGATGCAAGCAAGATATGACCAAACCAGCCTTGGACAGGGCCAAGGAAGGTCCTAGAAGTCACAAAAAAAGGCCTGGACGAAGCCTCAAAAATGCATAGAGGGATGGTCATTTGAAAGGCCAAAAATGCAAGTAAAGAGGAACACAAAGAGAGGGGACTACCCCCTCTGATTTAGGACCTCAAAACCATACCTCTACCACCAAAATCCCACTGGATTTCAGTGGTAGGAAGGCCAAACCAAGGCTAGCTCGGAGGCCTCAAGATATGGCTTAAAACAAAGCCAAACAAAGCATGCAAGGGGGTACACACCCCAAACAGCAAAGTGACCTTAACCAAACTTAAAAAGCACTTAAAAACAAGACTTTTTCCAGTTATAATTAAAGCCTAAATCAATATGCAAAGAGGGCTAAAGCAAGGTGCAAAAAAGTGCAAAAATGGGGGAAATGCTCACCCTTGAAGACCCTCTTCGAAACTAGCAATTTCAGGGGGTGGAAACTTGCTTTCAAACCTCAAGAAGACCTCCCAAGAAGCTTGGTTCAATGGTAGTGGTGTATATCTAGGTGTTATAGTGTAAAAATGCAAGAAAATCCAACTTCAAAGCATTAAACACAAACAATATAGAGCGAAAGGGAGTTTTTTGCTCTCCAAAACTCAGAACCTCTGGCAAAGAGGGAGCCCTCTTGCTTATATAGAGGAATGTAAAGCCAAAGCTTCTTCAAGAAGCTTTACAAGGGCTTCATCCCTCCATAATGTATGGAGGGGAGCAAACAAAAAACCAGCTGGCTTAAAAGATTTGGAGGAAAACCAGCTGAGACAGGGGGGGTGCCGGCCATCATCAATGGCCAGCAGTGGCTCACTGATGGCCTGCAGGGCTTCACCAGTGGCCGACAGGAGCAAAGCAATGGCTGGCAGTTCCATGCCATGGCCGGCAGTGCACCAAGAAGGTCACTCTGAAAGGACCTAGCCAAGGTCCAAAAATGGGACAGAAAGGATACAAGGTCCGGGAAGCTCGAACCGGTGACGTTCCGCCGTGACAGTCGAGTACTCGGTGAGCAGTCGATCTAGTCGTTGGGTGTACCTGCAAGCACAACCAAGTCCCGAGGACGGTCAAAAATGGGGTGTCTACAGAGAGGCAGTTGCCCTTAGTGAAGTTTGCTTATAACTATAACTTCTAGTCGAGTATTGGTATGGCACCGTTTGATGCCTTGTACGGTCGACCGTGTAGATCTCCTGTGTGTTAGGCCGAGGTGGGTGATGAACCGATGATAGGTCATGAGTTAGTTCGGGAAACAGCGAAGAAAGTTACGCTTATTTGTAAGAGGTTGGTCACGGCTCAGAGTCGTCAGAAAAGCTATGCCGACGGTAGGAGGAGACCATTATCCTTTGAGGTAGGAGATCACGTCTTCTTGAAGATATCACCTAGACGAGGTTTGATGAGGTTTGGAAAAAGAGTGGGAAGTTGTCTCCTAGGTTTATTGGGCCTTTTGAGATCCTAGAGGGGATTGGAAAGGTAGCTTACCGTTTGGCCTTGCCGCCATAGTTGTTCACGGTTCATGACGTGTTTCATATTTGTATGCTCCAGAAGTATAAACCGGATTCATCACACGTGTTAGACTGGCCCGAGCTAGAGGTAGATGAGCATGCCTCGTATAAGGAGAGACCAATTAGAGTTTTAGACACTCGAGACCAAGTCTTGCGTGGCAAGACAATTCCTTTGGTACAAGTATTGTGGAAACATCACGGGGTTAAGGAAGCAACTTGGGAACGTGAGGCAAAATTCCGTGAGAAATATCTGAACTTATTTGTCGATGTTTGAACTTGTATTGAAAATCTTGTCATGGTAATGTAATATAAACATTGTATTTTGGAAATGTGAATTGTATATTCAGTAATGAGAACGTGTTTATCAGAGTGATGAGAATGAATGACCGGTGGATGGGTTATGGTGATGAAATTGAATCGCTATCATTGTTGTAATTGGTTTAAACATGGTTTTGTTATTAATTTAAAATTTCGGGAACAAAATTTCTTAAGGGGGGGAGGTTATAGCGATCCGGGCTTAGACCCGACCCATTTATTGCTTTCAAATCCAGGAAACCATATCCCTAGCGGTCGTCCTTCTTCTTCTTCTTTTTTTTTTTTTTTTCTTGTTGGATTATGGCTTGAGGGCCGACACCATCCTTGGTGGTGTTGACACTGCCTTTTTTTCTTTGTTTTGTTCTGCTTCAGGGGTCGACACTAGTCTTGGTGGTGTCGACATTTACCCTGTTATTGGCCTTTGGGGTCAACACTAGTCTAGGTGGGGTGGACCCTTCCATCGGTGCTTTGTCCTGGGTTACATACTGAAATGTAGGGTCGGCACCTCGAGTTCTTAAGGGTCGACCCTCCCCTTGCTGTTTTGTTCTGGGTTGCATTTTGAAAAATAAGGTAGACACCACTGTCTCCTAAGGTCGACCCTCGTCTGCTGCAAAGCATTAGTGTCTCATCTTTCTTCCTGAGGGTCGATACCACTGTCGCGAGGGTCGACCCCTATGAGTTATTTCCAGGTTTTTGGTTTGGTTGTGGGCCCTACTTTTTGGGGGTTTGACTTATTCTTTCCCATGACTTTAGGGCTATTATTCTACCACTATAAATAGACCCAAAACACACTTTTTTCACTCACTTTTCATTTCTCTCTCTCTCTCTCTCTAGATCGTGACTTCTCTTTTTTCTCTCAAAACTCAACTTTTCTCACATAGATCCTTAGATCTACTCACCTAGAGGCTTCTTTTCATCTTGATCCTTTGAGATAGATTGTAGATCGTGTCAAGAGTTTCCTTTTGATCTAGTGGTTCGTGATTTCATTGACGGAGAGTTTTTCTGAGTTCTTCTCTCTTACTTTCTAAGCTTAAGGTGGGGATTCTCTTTATGAGTTTTAACTTAGTTATTTGTTTTTATGAAACATCATTATGAAAAAATGGGTTTTTGAACAAATCTTGGGTGTTGGTTCGAAATCAAAGAGAGGGCTTTTCAAATGGTTTATTGAGAATAGTTGTGGATGGATATTTACTTATGAGATACGTTGAAATGATGGGTTTTACCTTGGAAAATGATTTATAAAGGAAGGAGGGTTTTTGCCCTAGAAATCTCAAATGTTGATTTTGTATTGATAAATGGAATTGATATTGAAATGGTAAAATTGAGTTGTTATGGATGAGGATGATGGAGTTGGATATGTATTATCACTCACATCTTGAAATTTGGAAAGTTTATCTTTATTGAAATTATTTACTTGTTTAGAGATATTTGTTTTGGGCTATTGGTGGATGATAACTATAATTGTTGTAGAAATTGCATGAGAATTAGGAGAATTGAAAACTAATTTCTCATCCATTTGCATCGAACATTGTTACATATTTATTTCATTGAAAATGTATCTTGTGTTAAAAAGGGGTGAATCTGGGAAGGAGTTGTTGTTACGTCAAATAAGTTGGCCTGTGTGTCCATGGTGAAAGTCCTAAAAACCATGCGTATACATAGGTGCCAATCCTGTGGACGAAATATCTGTAAATGAAAATAGTAGTGCTTGTATAGCCTACATTTACATGAGTGTCGGTTTATGGTTTCCTGCGGATGAAATTTCCGTGAAATGTGATACTTGTCTTGAGATTCCTAGAATTGTGATTCACTCCCCTGTTTTCTAATGTAAAGGAAATGATTCATGAATTGTGGTATGAATATGGCATTGCATGGTTTTGAAAAAGGTTATAAAATGTTATGTCACGAGCATTGCATATGCATTTCACCCTTATATCTTTGTTAAGATTTATATGCTGTGTTGGATTATTTCTACTGGATTTTTGCTCACCCTATGTGGACAACCATTTTCAAGTATTGATGATATGTCTCTGCCAAGGCAATAGCTTGGGAGGACTTGGAAGCAAGGGCTTCATTTTGTTTATTTTGTTATATTTCATTGTACAAGCCTAAGGCTTTAACTATATTGGATTTAAATCTATTTTGTTGTAACCAAGCACTGTCTTGGAAAACTATAAGCCTTTAGGGCATTTCTTATTTGTTTGATGTTCATTTTATTATGTAGCATATGCTATAGATTCAAGGATAGGCTTATGAAGGTATTGCTTATGTTACTCTTTTGTAAACTTAATTGAAAACTAATGGAAGATAATTACTTTATCATTGTTGTTATTTATCAATGTTATGGATGGGTTATTGTATTTATTTCCGGCTCTACCAAATGTACGATTTTGATTTTTAAGAATTTTATCTAAAGTATCTCTTCCTTGAGTAAAATTTGAAAGACTATTTTTCAGATCTTCTATATTTTCGTTCAAAACAACTTTGTCCTTTTTTAAAAAGAATTATTTTCGATTTTCAAATCATTTGAAACATTTTTGAAAGAATCATTTTTCTTTTCAAAATGTCATTTTTAATTTTCAATATTTTATTTTCATTTTTAAAAATATCATTTTCAAGTTTCAAATCATTTAATTCATTTTTCAAGATAAGAGATTGTTTTGATTTCAAAATGACATTTTCTTCTTTTATCTTTAAAAAATCTTTTTCTAACATTTTAATTTTATTAAATAAAGATTCATTTTCTTTTGTTGAACTTGAAAGTAATTTTTTAAGAGCTATATTTTTAATGCCAAGTTTTCGAAATTCATCATCCAATTCTTCAAACGGACTATAATTCATCAAAAGAATAAGACTCATTATTTACCTCATCATCATCTCCAAATGCCATTAGGCATAAGTTAGCAACTTCATTGTTGTTGCTTTCCTCATCGGAGTAACATTCATCATCATCTCCCCAAGCGGCTTTAATTTTCTTTTTGCTTCCATTGATCATTACAAGCTCATGAGTGTAGACACCCCATTTTTGACCGTCCTTAAGACTTGGGCGCCATCGATTGATCACCCAATGATGAATTTTTACACTTGTCAAATGCTCGATTTACTTAGCAGGAAGCCTCAGTTTTGAGCCTCAGAACCCTATAAACCTTGCACCATTTGTTTTGGACCAAAACAGCAGTTTTCCAAGCCTGACCACCCAGAGGCCTGTAGGCCACTTGGTGGTCGGCCGGCTACAAATGAGTGTACGGCTATCCCCTTAGTGGTCGGCCAGCCACTTGTGTAAAAAAAACCAGATATTTTTGCCAACTGTGCTAGCTATCATGTGCATGGACTACACTACTTGTTTCTGTATTTATATTTCCAAGAGCCTAACATATTTTTCTATATATACTTGATCCCCTCTCACAAAATTATGTTAGAAAATTTTGGAGAACGAAAATTCTTAGAAAATATTTCTCTCTCTACCTTGCAACCTATACACACCTTTAACTAGACTTCTAAAACAAGTTTTTTGAGATCCCTTTGCTGAGGTACTTGAGCTTGAATGTTAGCTCTTGAGGGTATGAAAGTGGTGGTTTATAACTCAAAGGGTCATTTATCTTCAAGAGGTATAATTCCTAGCTTCTTTCCCTTATTTTTATTTGCTATTTTTGGATCATTTTTCAACTATTTTTACAGGCTGAAACTTGTGGCTAAAAGCTACCCAAGGTAGAGGAGGTGACCACCCTTCTTTGAACCTCACTTCCTAAGCTTTTGCCCCCATCTTTTCATCAATTTTTTTGAGCTTTTTACCCCTAATTTTCAGAGGTCTTCAGAAGCTAAAAATGTTGTTTTGAAGTCCCAAAAATGGAGGGCTTAGCCTCTCCTCCTTGTGCTTGTTTACTAGCTTAATTTCGTCAATATTGTAGCTTACTTTTTCAAGCCTTTCCATGTGAACACCAGCACTATTTTGGACTATTTTAGGACTGTTTTTATGTGTTAGTTTTATTTATGCTTTGTATAGTATGCTTGTAGTGTAATGGCCCTCATAGTTGGTGTTTTAGGCGTTAGACACCAACCTATTTGAGTTGATAGCATTTATTTGATGCTTTCCATACTTATGTTCACCTCTAATCACCTCTGCAACCTCCTTATTTTCTTGGCTTTTTCTTTGCTTTGAGAGTCATTTCAAAGTTAGTGTTGTTTATGCTTGAGAGGAGACCTTGTGCTTAATGGTTTAATCTCTTCGGAGGCTCATTACCAAAGGCATGATCTCTCTCTCACGCCTAAAACAACTCTTTGTTTGACACTTCTCTCCATCAGTGGATTTAATCTTCATTATTAGACTAAAATGACTAATGAATGGAAAGGTAATTAAAAGAGGTAATGAATTTGAACTAAGAGGTAACAAGATAATAAAATCAAGTTTGGGGTTCAATCGGACGTTAATTGAACCCATTGAGTCTTGAAGCATTTCATACTCTCAGTGATGAAAATGGTTTAAGAATTAATGTCAATCACTTCCCTTGATCAATTCCATGATAGGGAGGAAGTTCTTGAGTATTCCCTTGTCATTTATCGAAATTGTATCCCTTGATTCATAAGTTATCATGCAATGAGTTTGTATCGATTGATGGCTTACAATCGAGCCTATCCATCCTTTGACCTGTTTGATGATAAAGAGGGGCAGGGTGGAGAAACATCCCTTGAAAATACTTTGTTTGTTCTCTGTTTCATGTCTGTTACAACAAGGTAGTACCAAACATTAGTGGTCGGCCGACCACCTTTACTGTACGGCCAACCACTTCTTCTGGCCGGCCGACCACCTCCTTTCAACCAGGTAATGTCTTTTTGCTTGCAAAACAGAGCAGAGTTTGAGGCAAAAATAGTTCAATTTTCTGAATGTGCAACAGAAGTATTCTGGCAGCACAACAGAGAGCATTTTCGGATAGAAATCCACGTTCATACATGAATCATCCCTAATTTCTCGGGGCCCGTTAAAATTATGTTTAATAGTAGTATGTTGTACGTAAAGTAGTGGACTTGTAATAACTTAGTTAATTAAATCCGTATTGTAACTAATTAGTTAGTTTAATTCTAATTTGTATTAATTAGTTAGAATAGCTAGTTAATTTTTGTGTAATAATTAATTACTTAGTTAGAATAGCTAGTTATTTTTGTGTTGCACTTAATTAATTAGCTAGAGTAGCTAGTTAATTTGTGGTGTTGTAATAATTAGTCTAATTAGTTAGGACATTCATTTGGACCCTCCCGCGCGAGGGTAAACTTATAATAATGTGCATGCCTTCCAACCCCACGTCTTTCTCCTTTTTATGTACCTGGTTATGATGGATTGTGTAGAACATCATGTTTCTCTTACCATTTTCCATAATTTGCATCCATTTGTCTCGTGTGCATAGGGTTCGGTTCATCATTCTAACGGCATTGTCATTAATTACTTCCTTGAATACGTGCATCACCGCATGTTACCAAAGTAATTCACATGACATATTAGGAAGCTATAATGCAAAAATGCAGCTATAATTAATGATTTTCATACGTGCATCACTCTATAATCTGGCAAAGCAGTCCATTTTTAGCATTTTGATTCAAAATTGATTTTCCAAAAGAATTGTCTGATTTGGACTTATTTGTGTTTATCTTTTTCACATTGCACTTGTGAAATCAGATTCAGAACCACAGGAGTCCAAATTGTAGGGTTAATTGTATCCGAAAGGAGCACGAAAAGTAAGCTACAATGAGTCATGAGAGGCCCCAAAAGCTCTTCCATGCTCAATCTTGTTAAATCTTTTGCTTATTGATTAGCAATCACTTTTGACTCCCAATTTTTTGGCAAGGATCTAAGAATTTTTTTCATCAACTCAACATTAGTATAAGATTTACCAAGAGATTTTAGAACATTAATAATATTAGTAAATCTAGAAAACATTTCAAAAATAGATTCATGGGATTCCATCTTAAAATCTCATAATCATGAATCAACATGCTAATTTTAAATTCTTTAACATGGTTGGTCCCTTTATGTATGGTCTCTAATTTATTCCAAATTTTCTTGGTCGATTCACATGTATAGATTTTATTAAGCTCATTAGAATCTAAAGCGCAAAATAAAAGATTCATGGCCTTGGCATTCATTTGAATGCTTCTCAAATCATTATTGTCCCATTCGTGTTCTTCCTTGGGCAAGATTTGCTCTTGGATAGTCTTGGAGGGTATCTTGTGGCCATTGACTATAATTCTCCATAGCTCATAGTTTAAACCTTCAATAAAATTTTTCATTCTTGCTTTCCAATAAGTATAATTTGAGCCATCAAACAATGATGGTCTAGAGGGCAATTCACCTTCAGCAAAATAAATATCAAAGTTGGTTGTCATGATTTACTCTTAGACGGTTAAGTCAAATGCAAGAGCCCAAGCTCTGATACCTATTGTTATCCCAAGTAGATAGCCTAAGAGGGGGGGATTAATTACGTTATTAAATAAATTGCATAATATTAAAAATAATAATCAAAATATTCGAATTTCAACAAATAAAATAATAGAGCAATAATAATCAATATAAAAGTAAAAGAGATAGGAAAAGAAAATCAAACACAGTGATTTATAGTTGTCCAGCACGCCGGGCCTATGTCCACTCCCCAAGTATCCTCCTCGAGAATTTCTCCACTATTCTTCAAATAGTAATTACACCACTAGCTTCGCGGGTACTAGTGAACCTTTAAAACAAGTGATCAATCCAGATCACTCCGACTAGTTTAGAATCTGGTGCCTAGTCACACCTAACCCAAGTGATTTTTTTTCAAAAAAAAAAGCACTCACAAAAACTCTCTTTTTTTACAAGAATAATATAAATAAGAGATAGAAAATCCTTTTACAATTTTGCTTAAACTCTCAACAAATTTTCTTACAGAAAATATAACTCAATGAAGCACAATACAATATTTGAGAATATTTCAATATAACAAATTTTTCTCTTTCTCTAACGAAAACATTTCTATATATACCAAAAAATATACCTGTTTGAGATACACTTAGAGAGGCAGATGCTCCTTATCTGGCTTTGTAGCACAATAATCACGTGGGCATGTGGCGCGGAGCAAGCATAATTTTCTTTTTCTTTTCTGATTCAACAAATGTTGCAAGTTTTGAAAATATAGATCAAAGTTGCTTTTGATAAATAGTAACACCAAAATTTTCAAACTTCTCCCGTAAAAAACAAAAATGTGCAGTGACTGCATAGTAATTTTTATATTAAAATATTTAACTACACAGTAACTTTTCTATTAAAATATTTGTATGCATAGTAAAATCTCTTTAAAAAACATTTATATCAGATATAAAAATATATACTCTTTTTAAAATCTTTGTAGTTATTGTAAAGATTTTAAATACACTTTAATAAAAATAACTAACCACCCCAGGTGGGTATATTAAATTTTATCAAAAGACAACAACTCATCAAAATCAAATTTGTCAAAAAAAAAACAACTCATCAATATCAAATTTATCAAAAGATGAATAGTGATTAGCTAGATTTTTCAGGATTATGAATAGTAAAATCTACTATTTGAGCACAATAATTTATCCAAAATTCAAACCTAAATAGTATTATCTATTTAAATAATATTTATAATAAATATATCATACAACATATATTTTAAACAGATAATATTTTGTATCAAATAATATAAAATATATATTAAAAATCATAATTTATCACATAATATTTTTAAGATATCATCAAAATTAGATGCCATGATTAACAATTTCTCCTAACTAAACATACTTTTTGTGGAGTTCCACGTGATTGGTGATATAATTTCACCTATGGCTAAAACAAACATGACCTAAAAAATTGTCAAGTTCAACATTCAAGTTTGAGTCTTGGAATTTTCTACCACTATCTTTGTCACCCCTCTCTAACCAAATAATCTCTACCCAAATAATAAAAAGATATGAATATTTAAAGGGTTATTTTTTTTGATAAATTCTCTT